CTCCAAGCTTCAGGCCCATCTGCTGCGAGGCTCGCAGGATCTCCTTCACGGTCTGCTCGCTGGGCAGGTGGAGCCCCACTCTCACACAGCGAGCTGCAAGCCGGTCAAGCTTTTCGCCCCAGCCATGAGCATCCGACTTCATCGCACGCACGTCTTGCTCTGAGAAGTAGCCCGTGAAGGATTTGCACGTTTGATTCGGTCGGCTACGTCTTCTGCCTGCAGGCAGCTTGCAAGCCTGCTCAGAGAGCGCTTCGGAGATGCTCTCTCGCTGGCTGTCATTCCATGGGCCGGATGCAGTGAGCTCCAACAGTGCATTCATGCCATCGATGCTCATGGAATGCGACCCGATCCGCTCCACAATGCTTTCGCATTGCTTCTGGACAAGGTCACCCCACTTCGACTTGTCCAGCAGGCCCTTCTGCGTGGCCAGGAACTGCTGTATCCCACGCACATGCTCAGCCACCTTCTGCTCATGCGATGCCATGGCTGGCAGTACTAACATTTGCACTGAATCCAAAACCACCGCAAGTGAAGTGCAGGGTTGATTCACTCACACATGTTCACACCTTGCATCATTTAAGATCACCGAATCACACAGACATGGTGCTTCATGATTAGCACTGGCAACCCTGCAATAACTGCATGGGTGTACTTTCAAAAGAATATCGCATTGAAACATGATGAACTGCCACCTTTTTAGTCCTTTTACACTGAGTATATAACCCTGCGGAGTCAAGTGCAGGGTAAATCCATGCTACCCTCTCTCACTTCTCTGGGATCTGATCGTCATCGCCATGTGCACATGCAGGTGGAGGTGGAGTACGGCTGCGGCTGCGCTCGCGCATTTTCAGGGCGGTCTCAAAACTCTCAAGCATTGTGGAGAAGCGCTGCATGCTGAGCTTCAGGTCACGCACACTCGCAAGCATGTTCACCTCCTTGCAAGCCTCGATGTTTGCATCACGACTGTCGAGCTCAAAGCTTTGTCCGAGCACGAGTGTTTCGGACATATGCTTCCCCCATCGGCCGCGACGTTGTTGGTATTGTTCGCGCCGCGTGTTCGCGTCGGGGGTGAGAGTCAAATCCATGGCTTGAACAACTCATGTGACAAGACATCAACGCAAGACAACCCTGCGTGCTATGGGTTCAGAGTGGACATCAACAATGCTCACGTCTCCAGGTTGCTCTAGCACTTTTGCACGCAAGGCAAGGCTACTCACTGTTTCACGGCTTGTTGCCGGCGCCAACATGTCTTTCAGACAGCTAAAATATGACAGTATATCAGACGCATAGCGAACAAAGTTGAAGAACAAATGAAATTCAATGAATCCACATATACATTGCATTCATCCAAACAATACATAACAACCATGCTCAATTGTGACACATCTATGTCTATACGTCCACGCTCCAAGCCTGGCATTCATTGCCACGGCCACGCGTCTAAACAAGACTCCAGGTTGCAGGCCCATTGCCATGCGTCTACAAAAACATTGCCACTGCCATCCAGGACTTTGCTCCAGACTTTGCTCCAAGTCAACAGGATTACCGAGCAAGTTCTGCATCTGATCCATTCTCGGATTCCTCCTCCGACTCATCCGAGTCACGATCCAGCTCCCACGCTCGGCTTTTTGCAACCAGCCGGGTCGACACCGCCACCTCCAGGCACGTGTTCCGCAAGTTCACAAACCCCTGCGGAAGCTTCTGGCACACCCTGTGCAGTGGCCTGAACCCGACGCTCTTCGGCAGCTTCTGCGCCGTCAAAAGGCCGCTGAGCTCTGCCGCGACGCGGGTGGACAGCACCTGCCAGGAAAGTGCAAGGAAAGTGTTCAAAACCCTGCAAACTAACGCAGGGGTGAGCGCAAAGAGTCAAGACTCGTGCAACCCTGCGAACAATCGCATGGGGCCAACATGCCTCAACATGCATTGCAAAGACTGAAGACTTGCGCAACCCTGCGAACAATCGCGTGGGTTTAACAAGTGACAAACAAACACCCAAACATATACCCAAACCATCCCAAAACCAACCTGGCCTTCAGCGTGGATCGGATCGTGACTCCCATGCGGTCGCACACACGTTTGTGCATACGCTGGACCAATGCACGAACCGTGATGTACTGGTTCTTTGGCCAGCTCACGCTCCCGACCGTCCTCTGGCTCAATGCGCGCAGCGACATGTAGATCCTCTCCGTCTCAGCACAGTAGCCAACATACGCTGAAAGTGTCAGCACCCCAGCCATCAGCTGGCGAACCAACATGTTCCTGTCACCCTTGTGACGCAAGAAGCGCCACCACTTGACCTGGCCACGGTCCGTCTCCTGGACATGGTGGCAGCCACGAGCTCCGAGCCCTTCACTCAAGTCCAGCTTCCAGGGCAGGTTGTCGATGAAGAGCACCTGGAAGTCTCTCGCATCCATCCGCTCTACCTGCCTGGTAGGCAATTTCCGAAAACATCGTGACATCCCATGGCTGTCCCTCATTGACAAAAATGAACTCGTAGACCAT